GAAGAAGAAGAAGAAGAAGAAGAAGAAGAAGAAGAAGAAGAAGAAGAAGAAGAAGAAGAAGAAGAAGAAGAAGAAGAAGAAGAAGAAGTAGTAGTAGTAACGGGGTTAATACCTGGCCCAGACAAAAATTCCTTCTACATGGCACACCTAAATCTTCCACGTTGCTGTTAAAAATCTATTGCCACTTGCTTAGTCCTTGTCTAGGGACCTCACAAGATTAGATTCCCATTCTAATGCTTCCAGTGGCTTTATTAGGTACTAGTTGTTGAGGATAAGGCTGACCGTAATGAATGTACCTAGTAAACTATTTGCTCTCACTTGGCTGAAGTTGCCCATCAGTTTTAACACAGGGAGGCAATCATGTGTCATCTACTTTATCTAGTTCTTATATTATTCCCAAGTTTGACATTTATTGGCTCAGTTAGTACTGTAACCTAACTGGGAAAAGAAGAGATCCCATTTTCTTACTTCCAAAATCATTTTCCACTTGAGGCTCAGTCAACATATCAGCACCTCATTAAGCGTATTTAATTTCATTCTTTCAACATTAACCCACGTACCACACCAGTGACCACAACTTTGGTGTCCCAGCTCCAAAATTCTATTAGTGTTCAGAAACCCTCCTGGTTTCCATGTAATGTTCCATCAGTGCAGAGAAATTAATTAAATTAAAATTATTTTTATTGTGATTTAATTAGCTTGATTTAATTACTTTGTTCATTGACTGAGCATTCTGTTGTTACGGCCAGACCCTCACTCTCCTTCGTGGCATGAATGTTCCCATAGAATTACACATTTTCTCTGTTCAGCCATTGGAGCGGGCTGGCGGAGTTTGCCAGAAACTCATGATTTATCACAATCAGCATCATCACAGATTATAAGAAGCATCCAGCAATATGATAACTTCTAAATGAAGTGTCTGAAAGCAGGTCACACCACCAGCCTCAGCTGTTAACCCGTCATATTTCATAGTCCACCTGACACTCCGGCCAATTTGCCAAGCCGGCCTTTATCATTCACTGCCTCTCGGGGCCCGTGCACAAGGCAATGGCGCCTGTACTGGCTGCCGTCCTGACTCGTGCCCTGCCCGGCCCTCCTCTGCCTCCCTGCACACCAGAGCCCACAGTCCCTGTGGCCTTCAAGCTGGTGCCAACCCTTCCTTTGCCCCTGAGCCAGGGATCTTGTGCCTGAGGTTCATAACCTAAAATGCACCATTTCTTCTAATGAGTATAGGCAACAAACTACAGAGCAGTCCCTATGACAAGTCATTTAGTCACCAGAGAACACCAGATACTTTTCACAATTTCATTGCGGTTACTGTAGTAATTTCGGAACACTGTTTACCCTTGTGACTACTTCAAAACAACAGTGAGTCTGAGACTCCTCCTTAGATGACACTCCACGGCCCCTTCTTTCCTATAGACCCCTCTGTGATTGACATTCAGCATTTTGATTAATGCAGTGCCACTGCAGCCTGTCATTGAATACACTGATGTCTTTCAAAACTCAGGTCATCTCCAACTTGCCAGCATCATCTTGATTAATGTGTTCAATGCTGCAGCACTTTGTATTCTTATGTTCTGGTAACTGTATTTTAACATATTTGGTCTGCTGCATAATTCTATGTATTTTATTGTATGATTTGAAACCACTTTTCTGAGAGAGAATCAAATGGCTATAATGTCAGAGTATTAGCATTAGTTTCCTGTAGCTGCTGTAATAAATAGTACAATTGTCATGGCTTCAAACAACAGAAATTTATACTCTCCTAGCCCCCAGGCCAGAATTTCAGCATCAACATCATGGAGCTAAAGTCAAAGTGTCACTGGGCCCATCTTCCCTCTGGAGAAGGATCCCTTCCCTGTCATTTCCAGCCACATTCTTCTGCTTGTGGCCTTGTCTCTGATCTCTTGTCTCCTTTTTCACACGCCTTCTCTTCTCTGTGGGTCATTTCCCTCTGCCTCTCCCTTATAAGGATGTTTTGGGTGGCATTTAGGACTCACCAGAAGGCCACTTCTTCTCAAGGTCCTTCGCACACACATTTACAGCTCCAGGGATTAGCACCCTGGCCACCATTCAGCCCATGACAGTCCTTGTGCTTACTTTTTTATTGACCATTCAATTCTTAAGCGACATAAAATGATTTCAAAAGTGTAACAAATTAAAATACATGCTATGCCAAAGCTCTTCAAAAAACACATGCTCCTCGACTCACATCACGGTTGTATATCCTAATAAAACCATTATAAGTTGAAGCTATGGTAAATTGAAAGTGCATTGAATACATCTAACTCGCCAATCCTCATGGTTTAGCAGCATAGCACGCTAGAATGTCACTGTTTCCTCCTGTGATTATGGGGCTGGCAGGGGCTGTGGGTCACTGCTGGCACCCTGCCTGGGAGAAAAAGTTCCACTGTATGTCCCTAGCCTGAGAAAAGGTCAAAATTCAAAACCAGAAGTGCGGCTTCTATTAAATGCATGTCCCTTTGCACCATCATAGTCAAAAAATCATAAGTCAGACCATTCGAAGTTGAAGACCATACATAATTAGTTAAGGGGCAATGTAATGATCAGAGAAAAGGCAAGGCCTTCAGAAACTGAGTTTTCAACAAGGCCTAGGAAAGCAAACAGGCTTGTTGCTTCACCTACAGATGAAGAAAGTGCGCATTGTGCAAACCAAGGTACTAGGATTTGTGCTGGGTTTGGCCTGAAAGGTCTGTAGGACCCAGGTCAGGAATTCATGTCTCCCTTTCTCACCTCTTGTCCTGCCCCGAGGGTGCTGTAGTTATGTCTTCCGAGAAGTGCTAAATGAGGAACTGACGCCATTGACCAGAAGTGAAAAGGCCAGGGACTGTGTCTTTTTCAATTAAATAGAACAAGAGGAAGTATTAACTTCAGCATGAGACAGTCAGGCTACTGATGATACCAAAATCCCTACAGTAATGTGTACCAAAGTACAGTTTATACCTAAAAAGAGTTCTACAGCAGCCTGCTCTAGACATCAGGAAAATGGCACATGGTTGACCTGTGACACCAGGGCAAGCTCTCTGATCTAGAAATCAGCCTGGCTTCCTGCCCCAGCTTCGCTTCTTCTTGTGTGGTT